TTCCAAGTTTCTATCCAACTGAAACTTAGGTGATGAGAATCTTTCCTTATTTGGTAAATTTAGACACTGCCACAAATGAAAGAATCAAATTCATCTTTCCACTCTTGCTCTTAATGGAATCTTATAAGCAACAAAAGTTTTCACAAATGCCATTGTAAGGATATTTTAAAATAAATAAAATCAAAAAAAAAAATTTCTTTTATTTTAAAACTTTGCGGAAAAACTATCCTTACAATGCAAAAGCACATGAAAACTTTGTTGTTATTTATTCCTAAGCAATATATCATAACTCTTAAGAAGTAGCTCAAGAATCCGATCTTCAAACTATGCGATAGAAATCCATCTATGCCATCAGATTCAGCATATTCTTTCTTTAAGTTTCTTCACTTTTTCTTTGATTCTTAAAACATCAACATGTGACCCAGTCACATCATGTATCAAGAATCTCAGAATAGAAACCTAGCAGAGTTAGATAGTGGACTTTACCCGAAGTAGAGTCAAACTTATTGACTTTAATATCCTTAGGTAAATTTGGCAGCTTCGCAACCAATGCCCCTTTCTTTGGCAATAGACCCTTGATAATGGGACTATCTTAGACTTAGCAGTTCTCTTTACCATTTGGTCAACCGAGTTGACTATGGCCGATCCCTTTCCATTGGGAAGAGAGAGCTTTACTGGATATCCAATGTCATCATTGTCAATGTCCATAAAGTTTTAGGAAGTTGATCTTAGCAAATAGATAAGATCATTAAGGGTCTTGTCATAGTCTGTTTCATAGGAGTCCCAAAGGAACTCACTATGTGACTTAGAAAGTGATTGAACCACCAACTTTCTCAAGACTTTGACACCCAACTCTCCCGGCTTGTCAATATGTGACTACATCTCCAAGATGTGACCACACATAGACCTTTTACTTGCCAATAGGGCTTGAGTGACCTTAAACTTTTCAAGAACTTGTGGGTTAGGGAGAATAATTGGAGGAGGTAAAAGAAGTATGATTTCCATGGGACATCATCTTCATTTAGGAAACTTGTTTCAAGAGATTTGGGAAGATCATCTTTTGGGAGATATTCAAGATAGTTGATTTAAAGTCCTTAATATAACACCCAATATGAAATATTAAGGCTAGGACCCAACACAATACTTTTATAACTTGGAAGAGGGATGCCGTAATCCAAGCTATAAAATATTTGAAGGTAGGTGAATGACGATTCACCAATTTCCACCAAGATAAACGAAATGTATTATTAGGTTTTAATTGGTTTTGAAACTCCTAGATTCTTTTGAGATTCATTGAACTGTTCAATGGCATGTTCAATCTCGAGTGTGCCCTTCAAGTTTTTGTGACTGGGATGCCGAGGATCACAAAACAAGGTGTGAATAACCATGCAAATATACTTGGTACCCTTAAGTGTTTACCCCTCAATCAATGTGTCGGTTAACCACACACGCTCCATCGATACTATGATAAACATTAAGTTACCCTTTGCCTACCTTGTTAAATACGAGTTAGTGTGCCGGTTAACCACACACGCTCCACTAACTGACTTAAACAAAGTGCAAAGTGTAATTTCATGGGTTAGCACCAAATTCACATTTTCCTAAGTAACTAAGATTGGGAATTTATAAATGTTTAGTTACTTAGTATTTATCATTAATACTTTTAATGAAGGGAGAATTATAGTCCTTGTCCTACCCGTTCGGCTAACGACCCTCCACCAGTCAAGGAAGCGGTGGGTGAGAGTGGACACCCATTAAACTGCCATTTTATAGGCAGTAACCTTATACCCCCTTATAGACCGGCTTCGTGAATGAGGCCTACTAACGGTAAGACTGACTTTATCTTATACATATCTATATAATTAAAATTATAATAATAGTATAAGGGTTTGAATTTTAACTTTTAAAATTCTAAGGGCTAACTTGGAATTAAAGTATTCATAAGAGAAAACTTTTCAAATTCCAAAACTTGAGGGCAAGTTTTGAAACTATTCAAAACTAATTAATTCCATAACTTATGTGTTTAAATTAGTTTTAATTAAAAAACTCTTCAAGTTCCATAACTTGAGGACAAGTTATGGAAGACTTTAAACTAATAAAAAGAATGTAACTTTTCTTTATTTTGTAACTTATGAAATTAATTAAGGTTACACATTTTATTACTTAATGAAGTGACTCTTGAACCTCCATAACTTGAGGACAAGACTCTTCATTTTTGTAACCATTACCAACTTTTATGAGTTTTATGAAACTTAAATGTGACTTTTCATATAACTTGAGGACAAGTTACAAAAACACATTTTAGAATCAACTCTTAGATTAAAATGGATTGAAAACACATAATCAATTAACTTTTCTATTAATATAAGCAACTCATAAGAACAAGATAATTTAATCAAACTTTTTCATGTAATTAGCCTAATCACTAAACTAATACAAAACATGAATCTATTGACAATTATCTTTGAAATTGGATTAGTATGAACATTACCACATCAAAAACAGGATTATAGGTTCAAAAACAGCTTATGGTAATGTTCCTAGTCCATTTCTAGCCAAAAAACTCAAAGATATGCTGTCAGGTGCTCCTACTCGTCGAGTGTATCAACCTACTCGCCGAGTAGGATGATTTTCTTCATGGACTCGGCGAGTTCATCAGTGGACTCAGCGAGTCCAGTGCCCAGAATGCCCGAAATTCGACTTTTTCAGCATTTTTCAGCAATTTGCATCAAGTATAATTGAAAACAAGCCTAGGCTCTGATACCACTGATGGGTTTTGAGCATTCTAACACTCCTAAGTGTACATGCAACCCTAAATACCTTGGATCTATGTTTTCTCTATTATACATGCAAATATGATTATCCAAGGTATTATCCTAACTAGCATACCAAAACATTGATACTAGGATACTAAAATAGATAGAATACATACCTTGTTGTGGTTGCTTGACTCCATGAAGCTTGAGAGCCTAGTGCCCCAAGTGTGACACCTCAAATGGTTCACACAACATCATGAACTCTTGGAATAACCATGAGAAGAAGACATACATGTTCAAATCGGCTAGCCCTCAAAATATGTATCACTAGTGCCAATTTCTTGAACTAAAGGGGTTCTTATATAGTGTGGCTATTAGGGTTACACCATGTAACTCATGACTTTACCCATTCCTTATGCTCCATGGGTTTTAACCTCCATGGATCACCACATGGGTTAAACCCAACATAAAGGAATCTTGGATCATAAGCCCACATATATAAGAATGAATGATTTACACAATCAATCCCTATATATTTAATTAGTCTCTTTTTTATCACTAAATTAAGTCCAAATTAATTCTTGATCAATACTAATTAAATAACATGATTTCATATTAATATATTAGAATTTATAATATATTAATATGTCACAAAATGTCTTTTCCTCATAAACGGTCTATCCAAATGTTCCGATGCCATGCAACCCAAATGGACCATGCCGAGTCGGGTCAAGTACATACCAATTATAGTTATGGACTTAGACACTAATCCAACAGTATTCAGATTAGTTGGGCAGATGTTGATCGAGGGATCTTTTCCAGAAGCAGGTATGTTCAATTCCATGTGGGTTTTGATTCTCTGTTTTGAGTGTCAGTGTGTCTTTGACCACTGGTTGTGGGGTTGATCATTCAGCGGAGGTCCTCTTGAAGGTTTAATTATGTCAGCCGAGATTCAGTGGTCGGGTCAATCTGTCATCAAGATTCAGTATGTTCTATGTCCCTTGGTCCTTGGGCATGGCTACCCTCAACGGTGGAGCAAGAACTTGGTTCATAGCAGACTCAGGTTTTGGTAACCTTCAGGATCACCGTAGAAGTCTTCACGAGCTAGTTGCGTAGTGGTGGAGTCCGTTCAGTCTCAATCAAGGATGGGATTTTGTTTCGACTGATAGTGAGGATGTTCACTGTTATTAATTTAGGTGTTATTTCGATTATCTCTGGTATTTCTTCTCTCTTGGATGGGATTATGGGTTCCCTAATTATGTGCATGGTCCTTTTGGGTGATAGTTTTCGAATTGGACCAAGAGTGCGACCGTTATCTTATTCTCGGGTCGTGTGCGACCATGTTTCGTGAGGTATTGCTTGGTAGCAGTTTTGTGATACTCAGTTGGCATAGTGAGGGAGTTGATTAGGCCCCTTCAAGGTAATGGAATGAGGTGGGTATCTTCAGGCCCGGAGTGTTGGGCGAATGATGCGATGACGACAGTATCGGTGTGTTATCGGGAGCTTTCCAGTCATAGGTTGTGGGCCTAGTGGTCATGGTGATTCATTTCTTCTGCTTGTAGAACTTTCGGTGTTGACGCACTGATGGGAGTCGGAAGAGTCACAAATTTGTTGGTTAGATAAAGGGAGCATTAAGGGTTGTGGGGAGTATCAGTCGGGTATCAGAAAGTCTCTGTGGGATGTATGCTTTATATTTCCGGTTGTTCGCAAGCTGTTGTTAGGGTTTTTATTTTCAAGATTGGAAATTGCTTATGAGGTCGCAAGTCATAAAGCTCTTTATGATGTCCCGAGTGGTTGTTCAGGTGGGGGTAAATCTGACCCGATAGGAATGGTTGTAACGCAATCGAGACTTTTATGTTCAAAAAAAAAAATCTTGAGACTTAAGTGTAACTTTTTCTGAAAATATTAAGATTTTTCTGACAATTTCTCTTATTTATTATAACATAAATATTAAAATAAAAGTTAAGAAATACTTCAAAAAAATGAAAATCAATCGGCTTCAATTTGGACATGACCAACAATCAAACTAGGCTAAATGAGTGAACTGGACAATTTTAAAACTCGTTGTTGTGTTGTAGAAAAAAAAAAAATGTACCATTTTTGGAATTTTTATTTAATAATTTGTTTAAATTTTGCAAATTTGAGTTTATTATTTGAATTTTGAAAGATGGTGGTAAGATATATAATTTTTGAAAGATGGTTGTTAATGGAGGCGCCTGTTAAGCAGAAGCTAACAAAAGCGGGGACAAAATCTGAAAACGACGGAGAAAATGGATGGAACCCACCCACACCGCACCGCACCCACTCGTAACCTAAACAATCAAAATTCTTACACTTGAAGCCCTAATTATCAACTTCAGTTCACTTGATCGGAAGGAAGCAAGAACATCTCAATCATCCATGGCTGATGATGCCGCAAGCACCAGCACCATTACTAGTAGAATCAACACCTCCATAACTGACATATCACATGACCATCTCTTCTCCATCCTTCTGCTCCTACCTCTGGAATCCATCCTGTCGTTTGCCATGACCTGTAAGAAAACTACTCGCCTAACTCAATCCCATACTCTCTGGAAATCCATCTGCACCAGGGATTGGGGTCACTCCACCGTCGATGCCCTCGTCAATTCTTCCTCATCTCCTCTTTCTATCGACTGGAAGAGACTCTATCAGCGTCTCCGTAACCTTGATCGGGTCGCCTGCTATACGCTCACAGATTCGGAGACTTCCCCTGGTCCTAGAGCTTCTCATTCTCTCAATTTTTTCTCCGGATGTCTCGTTCTCTTCGGTGGCGGATCCGAAGGAGGTCAGTTACACTTCTTTCTCCCTGCTTTCCCAATTATCTGATGATCATCTGTTTTTAGATCGATCTTAGTGAAGATAAGGATTGTAATGCCGGTAAGAACAACGTAGCAAAATCTATCTTCTAAAGCTATAAATTTGACCCAAGTTTTCTATATTGAGTGAACAGTGTTTTTTGGAGATCAGAGTAGCCCAAAATTGAGTTTGGCTTTTAGATATGAGACAGGAACATATTGAAACAAATCTCTAGACATAAAAAAGATGTCTAATGGTGAAAAGCTCATTCTATCAGTATCAATGGCAGATTTGGATTCACATAACTTGTCAATGGCAGTCGCGATTGCCAGCTAGTTGAACACAAGTTTCATTCCTTCGTTTTAATTCTAGGCATCATTCTCTACTTCCAGATCATACTCCAAGATAGATTGTTGTATGCTAGTAATCCTTGTCCAATACTTCAATTATTGTTCTTTCCTTACAATCTCCCAGACTTCCACACCTTTAAACATGCTTTATCTTCAAACATCTATATGGTGATTTAATAAGAATTTATTATACTCTGTATTGTTGAGCTCATTGAGAATGAATTACTCTTTCCATTTTAAAAGCTAGTAATCACAATTCACACATTGAAAAATTCTTCCTTTTGTTGTTGTTCTAGGACGCCATCTTGATGACACATGGGTAGCCTACATAGGAAACAGCTTTAGAAGAAAGATGAACTGGCAAAGAGTAATATCAGAAGGCCCAAGTGGGCGATTTGGTCATTCATGTGTTGTTATAGGCAATTGTCTTGTCCTCTTTGGAGGCATCAACGATAGTGGAATCCGTCAAAACGATACATGGATGGCTCAAGTAGAAACCACCACTGGTGCATTATCATGGAGACTACTCGATGTTGGCCCAATCACACCTCCAACAAGAGGAGCCCATGCCTGTTGTCTGATCGATAACCGAAGAATGCTTATCCATGGAGGAATCGGGTTATCTGGAATGAGATTAGGAGACACATGGGTGTTAGATTTATCTGAGAATCTCTGTTTTGGGACATGGCATGAAACAGTGAGTCACCATGACCCTGTTCCCTCACCTCGTTCAGGACACACATTGACTTACATTGGAGGAAGTAGGAGTGTTTTGTTTGGAGGTAGAGGGATTGGTTATGAAGTGCTTAATGATGTATGGTATTTTGATTCGTCTGAAGGGCATCTAAAATGGGTACCAATAGTCTTTGAGCTGAGAAGCATCCCTAATGGGCTTTCACTTCCTAGAGTTGGACACTCGGCTACTTTGATTTTAGGAGGGAGGATTCTTATCTATGGAGGTGAAGATTCTTATAGACACAGGAAGAATGACTTTTGGTTGTTGGACATAAGTCAGGGGTGTATGTGGAGGAGGCTAAAATCTGAAGGGTATCAGCCGAAAAATAGGTCATTTCATCGAGCTTGTGCAGATGAATCTGGGCGTTATTTGTATGTTTTTGGTGGAATGGTGGATGGGATTCTTCAGCCTGCTGAACCTGCTGGACTTAGGTTTGATGGTGAACTTTTTGTGGTAGAACTTGTATTGTAAAATGTAAATATTATTGTATAAGTTAAAGAGGAGTTTGTAAATTGTAAGTAAGGGGGTGTTTGGGTAGGAAAAAAAGAGGGTGCTTATTGCTTATTGCTTATTGCTTATTCCCACCACAATAAGCTAACTTTGAGTGTTTGGATAAAATCTTTAAAAATCAGCTTATTAAGCTAAATAAGCTAATTTTAATAAGTATCTCTCCCCATGCGTATTGCTTATTGCTTATTCCCACCACAAATAAGCTAATAAGCAATAAGCTAATAAGCTAATCCAAACACCCCTAAGTTGTAACGTGTACAACTTGAATTAAATTTGAAGGAGGCGTAGGGCATGCACACCACTAGAGCCAAAAATGTTACCATATATATATATATATATATATATATATATATATATATATATATATATATATATATATATATATGCTGATTGCTTATAAGGAAGCAACCACTAGTGGGGGGTGGGGTACCTGTGGCTCTATAGACTATAGGTGGTCCTATGTCTGTTTTACCTTCTACATCCTTCCTATCCACACTCTCTTTTGCCTAGAAAATATCAAGGGACATTTCTGCTTCAAAGTTATAAACAATTTGTGGTCCTGAAATCAAGGTATGGCCTTTTTTTGTCTCCATCCATATGGTTTACTTGAAGATCTATTCTTGGATATGTAAAACATGAATGCTATGTAGATTGTAGAGTAACGTTTTGTATTCATTAATCCAAGTATTTGATCGTACCTATGTTTGGAATCCATGTTTATGTTTATTGTGTCATCAAGCTTTTGTGTTAATTTGTTAATACACATCAACTTGGTTCTATGATTATGAAGGTACATGGATGTTATGGCATCCATGTTTTATTAGTTTTAACATAAACATGAAAATAGTGTCGATTATCACTTTTGTTTGTTATCGATCATGTAAGGATTAATAGTTGGGACCACAAACAATGATATAATTCTAACATTCTGCTTCATACATCCAAGCATCTCTTGACTAGAGAAGTCATGTATGTGTCAAATGATTACATAAATCCAACATGATTATGAATGTGATATAAATAATTTTTATGGTAATGTAAAGTACATTCACATGGTTATAAACGATGCACTTTGTCCTTCCTTGCAATAATTATCACCAACTTAAATAGTCATCATAATTACACAATAAACGTAATGACATTACATTATGCTATTTCAGAAGGCCATTCACAAAACATGTTCAAGGAATATTTTGGGAGATAACTTTTCGCCATTGGTGCTTTTGTATGCTATCTTCCACTCTTTCTCGAACAAACAAATGTTTAACATCAAGATGAAGCTCATCAGTGTGAAAACTAATATTATTTGAGAAACTAATATGACATACATTGTTATCATAATATAATTTGAGTGGCACTAAAAGAGAGTTAACCACCTTGAGGACACCAATAAGATTTTTCAATAACATAACACGACACATGAAACATTCCTCCATCATTGTCGAAGTAGTAGTGAGTTATTGTTTACGATTCCACCATGATATTGACCCTTTTTATAGCATGAATATGTACCTAAAATTGATTTCTTGTCATCTGTGCATTTTGTAAAGTCAAAGCCGGAATCAAAATAACTCACAATTTCAAGGACATTAGTCAAAATATACTCTTTCGTCCCTTGTAAGTAATGTAACACATTCTTGGCCGACTTTTAGTGGTCTAAGTCAAGATTTGATTTTGTCACGATCATGTCGGATATATAAGTAATCTTATGCAAATACATGACCTAAATGAGACTCCCAACCATTAAATCATACGAGATGAGATTCATTTGATCAAGTTCTACTCAAGAAATTTGGGCACCATAGGAGAACAATTTTACATGTTGTACTTATTGAGAACTAGTTCAATATAAACTATATAGGACAAGACTTACATCCTAAGAGTTCGATTTCACCGTATTCAACGTAAGTATCAATCTGTGTAACTAGTTTAGCAATTATGTTTAGTCTAATGGGGTTATGTGTAAATACATCCCCTATATGTATCTTTCCCTTATCACATTTAATGATATGAAATTATCCTTTTCTCAATTGTGATTTATTATGGTATTAGAGCCTAAGTGCTTGTAACCTTAACGACACTGTCATCTAGAGACAACCTCTAGCAACCATTCCGAGTCGATCTCCGACGACTATCATCCCTTAACTATCAATCATGGCTCTAACTCTCACGACATTCACATCAACGGAAAAAGTTTCTCACTCTCATTATAGGTGGGCGTTTCTTCTCAATCAAGATAACTTTCAGTTCTAGAAAACAATGGTGGAATCCTTCTTCTCAACATATAAACTTATTGGCTAACTTATGGAACAACTACATGCCCTCTTTCAACCTCTACCAACGCAGACAACACTCAGGTACCAAATCTGAATTTTGCAATATGGAATGAAAACGATGCTCATGTGAAGATGGCTCTTCTCTCTTCCAACTCTGAACAATCATATGACATTTTTTATGGAAAATGCACATCCCACAAAATATGGGATGTCTTGCATCATGTCTATGAACCATCCAGCCTCTCCCGAGAACTCACACTAAAAATCAATCGCCTGAAACTTGAAATTGGTAGTGATGAACCTGTCATGACATATCTACAACGTGCCAAAGGCTATGCCAATTCACTAGCCTCCATTGGTGAATCGGTTCGTCCCTAAGACTTGGTTCTCATAATTTTAGTGGGTCTATCCACATGTACATAATTTAACAACCTAGTTACAACTCTAACAACACGTGGTAGTGATGTTTACATTGATGATCTACGATATGTTCTTGTTGATCACGAGTGCATATATGGGAGATCAAAACCAAACATTGTCCGAGTGTACAATGCACAAACCAGTCAACATTCACAAGTAGGCTTAACAACTAGCCAAACTAATATTGGCAACCTTGTTACTCAAGCTCATGCGTTAGGTTTGAACATCATCCCAACTGGAACAATTCAAGCTTAAGCCCTTTACAACAATCAAAGTGGGATTCACGACACTTGTGGTGGTCGCCGCAGAAACAATAATTGTGGTGGAATTCATGGTGGTACTACGACCAATCGCAGTTATGGACCAGACTTTAGCTGGGCATCAACACAAAACATTGTCTATGGCTATTGTCCTAAATGTGACATTCATCACAGTCTCCACATCACTACAATAACAACGCTTCGTAGCTTTGATACCATTAAGCACTTCAGGAAAAAAAAAAAAACTTCGGTGAACTCACAAAACTTCTGAAAAACATAAATCAAAAGAACACAATATTTAACGTGGTTCGGTCAAGGTGACCTACGTCCACGGGTGAACGAGGGAGAGAGGATTTTATTAACTTTCTGAAACTATTACAAGCACTCAAAATTGTATCTCACTTTGAGCTCTAACAGAAATCTAGCAATTTACAACGATGGGGATATGAGCCTATTTATATTTGAGGGATAAGACCTAAAATCCTAATGGGCCAAACCCATTGGCCCATATGCCCATGAATGGTGACAACCAATCATATTCTGCCATGCATCATCTTCTAGAACATTCTTCCATATCATACAACCCATGAGCATCATCAACACACATGATGGACCACCTTGACCATAGTGGAGCATCATGACGCACATGTGGCGCATCATGAACACTAATGGTTGAACATCTATCATGGTGTCACAACAAGGTGTATTTCTTGAGCATGATCATCTTCTAAGCATACACGGATCAACATGGTACATTAAAGGAATCAAGATGGCACATCATGTACCAAGATGGTCCATGATGGCGCAACATTTCCTCCATGGCACAACTTCCCTTCTTGATGGAGCAACAACATCTTCATGGCTCAACATCTCCTTGGCTCAACATCACCTTGGCACAACTTCAGACATGATAGCGTATCATGCTATCATTTGGCGCAACATCCCCAAGGATGGCACAACTTCCTTGTGGCGCAACATGATGTTCCATGCTGCTCCCTGTTGCTCCAAGTGCTCCATGTTGCTCCAAACCACTCCAAGTTGCTCCAAACCCCCTTTTTGAAGATCCGTTCCTTTGACAAATGATTCGTTCCTTTGTCACATGATCCAAAGCCATCTCAGATGATCCGTTCCTTTGTCACATGTTCCATGCACCTGAAACATCCCAAAAATCATGACCAAAAATTTCATTTTTGATATAACGACTCATAAAACAATTTATAGAAAACATCATCAATTATTTCATTTCATAAAAACCATAGATCATGTATCTCAAAATCATGACATAAAATAGTGACAATGTCAGAGTACAAATCCCAAGGGTCTCATATGCGGAAAATCGTGTGTGTGTGATGCGCTGCTACCGTGCCGACTCCTTTCCCTTCGAAGAGGAAGTACCTGAAACCAAAACTGGAAACTGTAAGCACAAAGCTTAGTGAGTTCCCCCATCATACCACATACCATACATAACACATACTGTCTACCTTTTCCGGGTACTAGCTACCCCTTCGGTCCCTTTCAACCGGTAACTTGCCTAGCATATCAGGGTGTTGGCCTACCCCTTCGGCCCTGTCGACCGGAATATTGCCTAGCATATCAGGGTGCTGGCCTACCCCTTCGGTCCTGTCGACCGGTACCTTGCCTAGCATATCAGGGTGCTGGCCTACCCCTTCGGTCCTGTCGACCGGTACATTTCCTAGCATATCAGGGTGCTGGCCTACCCCTTCGGTCCTTTCGACCTGTACCGAGGACTATTTCACCCCCTACTTCTACCACATAACATCCTAGTGCATAAACATATAAATCATATACTGCCTAGCTTATCCGGGTTCTGGAATACCCCTTCGGCCCTATCGACCGGTACTGAAGTCTAACTTACCCCTTCTACCACTATCACATAACATCATAGCATACTTGCACATAAAACATAACAGATGTTGGCCTACCAGACAATTATCACGAAGACAATCATCTTAACTACATCTCCTACTAGTGGGACGACATTGTGACCTTAGACCCACTTCTACTGGAAGGTAACTCGCCTCAATGTCGTGAAGTAGCTGAATTGTCCTCGGTGCTGGGATCAACTCCTCTCAAACTCCTACACATAACAATCTCCTTTAATTACTCTTTCATACTCATAACCCCTTTAAGGGTCAACTCTGGTCAAAGGTCAAGGTCAAAGTCAACATCCTGGTCAAAGTCATCACCCTGGTTGACTCAACTCGCCGAGTTTGTCTACCAACTCGTCGAGTTCCATACTCCATAAGATCTTGAAATCTCGATCTTACTCGTCGAGTCCTTTCATGAACTCGTCGAGTTCTATGATTCGTAAAACTATGAAACCCCCGACCCTA